ACAGATGGAGCCCGAAGTCATGGACTAAATGAACTCACCGAACGTTTTAGAGGGATGGCCCACAGACTAAGGGAATGATATCTGTCTCTGTGTGTGTGTGTATATATATTGAAAAAAAAGGGGGTGGTGATTAATGAAAATGTACTGGAAAATATGGGACTTGAGCATGACGTAGATGGTATAGAATAAGGGGTGGATATTGTCCTGGTTTCGGCAGCGATAGAGTTAATTTCCTTCCTAGTAGCTGGTACAGTGCTGTGTTTTGGATTTAGGATGAGAATAATATTGGTAACACACCGATGTTTTAGTTGTTGCTAGGTAATGCTTACACTAGCCAAGGACTTTTCAGCTTCCCATGCTCTACCGACTGAGAAGGCTGGAGGTGCACAAGAAGCTGGGAGGGGGCACAGCCAAACTGGCCAAAGGGATATTCCATACCATGTGACGTCATGCTCAGTACATAAACTGGGGAAAGCTGGCCGGGGGGGCCGCTGCTCAGGGACTGGCTGGGGATCGGTCGGCGGGGGGTGAGCAATTGTACTACTGTGCATCACTTGCTTTGTGTATTATTATTATTATTATCATATTATTATTATCATTTTATTTCAATTATTAAACTGTTTTTATCTCAACCCATGAGTTTTTCTCACTTGTGCTTTTCCAATTCTCTCCCCCATCCCACTGGGGGGTGGGGGGAGTGAGCGAGCAGCTGCGTGGTGCTCAGTTGCCGACTGAGGTTAAACCACGACATACAGCGGGATCAAAACTGTTTGCTTTAATGGCTGTAATTCAACAAAACACATCTTAATGTGGCCAGATGCAAGGAGGGCATCAGTAGATCAAGATTTCAGACTAATTGTTTCCCTCAGTCAAAGGTAATTATTCAATCCTATGGCAAAAAGACTCATTCACATACAAGAAGGAGTAATTTGGCTTTGTATTCTACATTAATAAGATAACTCTTAGAATACTATTTCCACTACTTGTGTCCACACATGAACTACTTAAGAGGTTGGAAATCAAACTGAGATTTACAGAACTCAATTTATTCATCTTAATGAAGAAATGAGTGAACAGTGAGTGGAAAGAAAAAAAAAGAAGAAAACTTGCTTTGGTGTGGGAATTCTAGTCTTCATATCAGTGACATAAAAAGAACCAATAACTTAAATATTACAGTGTTCAGTGCTATGACCAATAAAGTTTGCATGCTCAACTTCAGCAGTGAAAAGCACAACGTAGTTAGAATGAGAGGAATCCCACTACTCCTGCAATAGGGTTTAAAATAGCCAGCTTATGGGGTGCTTCATCAAGACAATAGGAAATGTCAAATAGTGGTCTATATCTGATACTTCTTGTTGCATGAATGTGAACAATTGCCTCAGAGATGCAGCAAAGTATCTCTGTGTAGCTAGAATTCAGAGCCTGAAGCCTTTTTCTGTGCCATGGCACCTTTTGCATGATTACTTACTGGTAGAACAATTGTCCAGAAGAACTGTGTTTTAGGCTATCAACAGACTGTGGAGGTTTAAAATTTACAGGTTTCACATCTCAGCGTTATGCCTTAGCCATGATATTTGTAGTACAAGCAGCACTCCTTCTGCATTTTACTTTAAACAATCACTGAATAGCAAGGATAGAAATAACCAAGGGAAAACAAACTGCCTGCTCTCCTCTCAGCTGAATACTCTAGCCATTATTTGCAGACCAAGCTACTTCTTCCTTGAAAAACTTCTAGATTACATCTATATCCGCTCTCTCCTTTGTAAAAAGATGAGAACTGCAATATTGCAACTGTTAGGCTTGACTTGAGCACACCTGTTTATTTTGTCTATTCAAAGCTGCTAAGCATAAGAATACCAATGTTTTGTGTCCCAAACTGCTTATTGTAATTTCAGAAGAAGCACTTAGCCTATGGCGTACTCACAGTTACCTGAATTAGGAACGTTTGGCCAGAAACCTTTAGACCCCTACAGAATCTGAAGTGCTTCAGTGTGTTGGGCAGGATTTTCCTGGACTGCTCTTCTCAGTTTAAGGCTCCTAATTCCACTTCAAATGTACTTTATTCTCCTTCAAGCCTTTGTGAAAATGGGGCCTTATAAACTTCTGTCTGTTTTTTAAGAGAAATCCTCCAGCCATGTGTATAAGAAACAGCTTTGCAAGGCTATAATTGTCCCTTTTTGACATTTGAATTTGTGCATCTATGAATCCCCCCATTTGTCCCATACCTTCATAGGGCTTAGAGATAACATGATTTCTTGCATTGACCTTAAAATGGTCATTAAACTAGAGCTTTGCATTCAGAAAACTATAATCTCCTCTAATCAGTATACTGCCATTGTGTAAGTACTAGGTCACTGTGGCTTCTTTCCTGTTCTTTGCTAGTAGCTCACAACAACATAGTCTCCTGAACACTGACATGCTTCTGCTGATTAAAACCCGGGAGTCCAAATACATAGGTATCTGGCTGAAAGGCAACAGTGAGACTAGATGATGGTCTTCTCATATTTAAACACAGCATAACACTCCTAGCTGTGCTTTTTCCCATCTGTTTTACAAGAAAGAATTAAAAAGGAAAGTGTTCCTTGTAGTTCCAGGTGCTTGCAATGCACCCACTTAACACAGATGGCAGAAGGCCTGCCTGTTGATGAGTGGAATTTCCTTTGCCAAGCAAACTAGAATTGTAGCTAAAATTGTATTGGATTTGTTCTGCCTTTTTTTCTCACCCCACCCCCCCCCCCCCTTTTTTTTTTTGCTTTACTGTATGTGATTTATGAAGTGCAGGCTTTTCCTGATGCATGATGTAGATAAAAGACAGTCTTGAAGGAGATGTGCTTCTCTTCCACCTTAAAAATTCTCAAGGTGCCTAAGAATTGGCACCAAATTCTTACAGGAATTTCACTTGTGTTACTAATATCCTTAGAATTTAAAAGAAATTTAGGCGAACACAGAATTCTAGAAATGGAAATGACCACCTAAGTCACTAAATCCAGTTTTTACTATTACAAGAAAACAAGTCATATAATGCCTTCATAAATTCCTACACTAATCGACCAAGCTGGATTGCTCCAGCACTTTTTTGGTATGATTTCTCTGAAGTAGTTCTGCTCACTTAGCTTCCAAGTTGTTAATATCCCTGGAATATTAATTTAGTGTCACATAAAAACTCAGAGGCTTACTCTGATTTCTTTCTATGAATTCTGTTTAATCACTCTGCATTTGTATTTCCCCGTGGTTCCAAAGACTTATCTGTTTCCTCTAACATTTTGTCAAGAAGGTAAAACTAAGGGTTGTTGTAGCTTCTTACTGATGATGGTATTCTCTTTCTTGTGAACAGGATTACTATATCCTTAGCTTCTCTCTTCTCAAAGATCAGACTAGCAAAATAAATTAAAGCAGAAATTACATGCACTGAAAATCCACACAACTTTTTGAGATGCACTCTTGCTTTGGTAGACTACAGAAACTTTGAATGTCTCTTCAATACGTATTCATGTGTGTACAGCAAGTTAAAACCTGCTTTATGGACTATATCTAAGACATTTTTAGAATAGGTCTGGCCAGTTGTCCTACTGATATAGCCTAAGCTACTGAATATGTATTTGTTTCACAGACAAATATTCAGCACATATGTTACAGATCTCAGTCAACGTGGCTGCCAGCTAACCGAAGGCAGCTTTCCTGTCAGGTCTCAGGCTCCTTCTTGTCCAGTATTCTTTTGATATATTACTCAGGGAACGCTAATCAGAAACATACAGTCTGCATAGTGGCAGCCAGATTACAAGAAGCAAATGTGTCTGTTGTTTGGGTGATTATTATTTTTTTTTCCTTGTGATTGGCTACATGAATGCACAGACATTTGGGGGCAGAGTAGAAGGTAACCTTGGAACTGGATAGAGTAGAATAAATTATTCTACTAGGTTAAAACATGCCTATGGGCAGACTCTTTCCTTGGAAGCTAAAGAAGATATCAACTGATGTGACGAAGAAGTACTACCACTGGGCACTAGAGATTGCCAGAATAGTTGGAGAAGAAAGAAGATTGCTGTCATCTGTATAAATAACAAAAGACAAGAAGCTAAATAGCCTGTTCCAAAACAGATCATTGAAAGGAATTAGAAATACAAATTGAGGGAGAGACTGAATGTTGGATTAAAAACTTGTTTTAATTATGCCACTTTAAAAAATGCATAATTTAAAAGTGATTTTTTTTTTCCCCCAGCACAGTCTACAAAGAGCCCTCTACTGCAGTGTGTCACGTGGAAACCTTTTACACACAGATTTTCTGGTGCACACAAAAATGCTTAGTATATCACAAAACATAGCTTTGTAAATCCGTTCCCTGTGGTGTGTATCCTCTGCAAGGATAATGTTTGGACTATAAGTTAAAAATGATGTGATCAGTAACTTGGCACGCTGTCCTGATATTTGCAGCGTACTGCTTACTTGGCAGTACATCTGCTACTGAAGGGAGACAGTTTTAACTTCTGCTTGAGGTCATGTTTGCAGGAGTAACTCTTACTAAAAACTACTGTCTTACCTGTCTTTAATTCTGTCTGTATTATCAGTAGTCTTGTTGCATTCAGTCAAACCCCTAGCTCAGGTCACGTGTCCTTATTTCAGCTAGGATAAGTGAAACCATTCTAATTTATGCTGGAAAGGAGAGTCCAGCTCTTCTGGTCCGTAAGGTCTAGATGCTTAGCAGGTTCTTCTAATCTTTGCTCAAAACTGAAGAAAGAATACATCCTGTTATTAATCTGCATATAGGTTCATTTTTTCTCTCTTTGACAAGGCTATTTACAGTCATGATCATTATGCACATTGGTAAATTATATGGACAGTGTAGGATCAATGGCTCTAAATATAACAGGAGAAGGTAATGTATGGTCTAAAAAGAGCAAACTGCTCAATTTTGAGAGTTTATCAACAGAGCTGCAATTATCCAATTTAATATTAGAAACAATGAAAGCTATAATTGTTTTTGAAAACCACAATTTATAGGTGGATTTGCCTAGAGATTTTTTAAAGATTTAGAAATGTTGAGTAATTAAAATATATTTCCCCTTACCCCTTCCCAGTTAAATGGAAACATTTAAATGGAATTAAAGAGAAGTCATACTGCAAATTTTATTCCAAGCTAAAATATACACAGGATTACTACTCTGAAAGCAAATTGAATCATAATTGTCTGAGAGTGCCTTACCACTGGTAGGTATCTTTCCTTGTCACAAAAATGCGATGCTTTTTATTCGTTTTACACAGACATTCCATATAACCTCTGCTTAAATTAAAACCCCATGTTGTCTTTCTCATAGGCACCATTTTCATCCTTTGCTCTGTATTCATCCCTGCTCTCTTGAAGCTAAGATATTGAAAAGGATAAATTTGGCTTGATAGCACTATGTATAACGATGCTACTGAATGTTGCTAGGATACCATTTGGTGGTCAACTGTCTCTAGTGCAGCTGCTATTACTTGCCAGGCTGACAGACATATTAGCTTTTATCCCCCTTAATGCTTGGGCTATAGAAAGTTTCCCTTCATTTTATTCCATTTTGATTTTTGGAGGGAGGTAAGTTTAGAGAGAAAGACACGGGAGAGGGAGAGAGATGTTATTATTTTATTTTCAGTCAATCTAAGTAACAAATATGTTATCCCAATTAGTTTAAAAGGAAACACGTACCAGTCTTTGTAAGTTTTATAATTTTTGGTACATCAGATAATACAGGATCTAGGAGCTTGACCCCTACAAATCTATGGGCCCTGACATTATCCACCCGAAGGTGTTAAGAGAGCTGGCTGATGTCTTTGTGAGGCCACTCTCCACAATCTTTGAGAAGTTGTGGAGATCGGGGGATGTCCCAGAAGACTGGAAAATGGCTAATGTCACCCCCATCTACAAGAAGGGCTTAAAGGAGGATCCAGGAAATTATAGGCCCATCAGTCTTACTTCAGTCCCTGGGAAAGTTATGGAACAAATCCTCCTGGGGGCTACCACAAGTCAAATGAAGCACGTGATTGGGAAAAGCCAGCACAGATTCACCAAGGGCAAATTGTGCTGGACAAACCCAGTCGCCTTCTACGACAAAGGTTGATGCTCGGTTAACCTTCTATGCTCGGTCGATGTGGGGCAAGTGGTGGACATTGCCTACCTGGATTTCTCCAAGGCTTTTGATACGGTTTCCCACAGCCTCCTCCTAGAGAAACTGATGTGTTACGGTCTAGACAAGGGGTCTGTGTGGTGGGTGGGGAACTGGCTGACAGGCTGCACCCAGAGGGTGGTGGTAAATAGCTCCTTTTCAAACTGGCAACCTGTCATAAGTGGGATTCCCCAGGGATCAATATTGGGCCCAACACTGTTTAGTATCTTCATAAGTGACCTGGATGATGGGATCAAGTGTGCCCTGATGAAGTTTGCCAATGATACCAAACTGAGGGGGGAAGAGGACACTTTGGAAGGGAGAGCCACCCTGCAGGAAGACCTGGATAGGCTGGAAGAGTGGGCTAACAAGCACCTTGTGAAGTTCAACAAAGACAAATGTAAGGTCTTGCACCTGGGAAAACATAATCCAGGAGTGCAGCACAGGCTGGGATCTACCCAGCTGGGGAGCAGCTCTGTGGAAAGGGACCTGGTGGTCCTGGTGGACAACCAGCTCAATATGAGTGAACAGTGTCACTTTGCCGCTGCTGCGGCAAAATTTTAAAACATTAAAAATGTTTTAAACCCCAAAGATCAGATTTCACTACAAAACAAGCTTCCTAAAACATCCGAAGTGAGACAGAATAGTAAAGGTGTAGATGAAAAGGGCATCACCAGCAGAGATAAAGAAGTCATTATCCCACTCTACTCAGCGCTTGTCAGGCCACGCCTGGAATACTGTGTTCAGTTTTGGTCCCCGCTATGCACAAAAGAGGTGGACAGGCCGGAGAGGGTCCAGAGAAGGGCCACAAAGATGATCAAAGGACTGGCAAGCCTGCCATATGAGGAAAGGCTGAGAGAACTGGGTTTGTTCAGCCTTGAGAAAAAAGGCTTAGGAGAGACCTTATCACCATGTTCCAGTATTTAAAGGGTGGCTACAAAGACTATGGAGACTCCCTTTTTACAAGGAGTCATGTGGAGAAGCCGAGGGGTAATGGGTACAAGTTACTCCTGGGGACATTCTGACTGGACACAAGAGGAAAATTTTTCACAATGAGAACAGTCAGCCACTGGAATAATCTCCCCAGGGAAGTGGTGGATTCCCAACATTGGACACTTTTAAGATTCAGCTGGGCAGGGTGCTGGGCCATCTTGTCTAGACCATGTTTTTGCCAAGAAAGGTTGGACCAGATGATTCTTGAGGTCCCTTCCAACCTGGTATTCTATGATTCTATGATTCTAATCCAATGTCCTTTAAAGCCAGTGAGAATCTTTCAGTGATTTATTATGACTCTGATAGCACCCCTTGGCTTTCTCCCCGAGGATTTTGAGGACTAAAAACAAGAGAGGCAGTAAATTGAGCTACATAGCCATGTGGTGTAGCTGGTGGGGTCTAAAAGTTCGTATCCTCTGGGGATGCATGCAGAGGGGAGGTGTAAGAAATTCATACTTGACCTACTCAAGAAAAAATGCTTTTTCCACAGAAACAAATAATGGTTGCTTTTCTTTTGATAGAATTGCTTATGAAACATTGACTTTTGGTGACATTTCCTGAGTGCTGACCACTTGTAGAAATTAGTGAGCTTGACTGAGTGACAAAATATGAGTTTGCTACCTTCAAGTTAGATGCCATTTATTGGGGGGGGGGGGGGGGGGGGGAAACAGACCACCCCCCCCCCACT